GTCGGAGCTGTATCCCTTCTAGCCACAACCCGTATGCTGCCCAGGACCTTTGTGATTGGTTTAAAACGCAAGGTACACAAATATAGGGAAATGACAGATAGTAAGGATTTACTATATACGAGAATTTAACATTTCACCTATAAGTGAAATGGGTGCTTCCAATGTTTCCAAACGGGCCAGAAAGATATGTTGCAGCACAGTCCCGAATGAAACGTCCCCATCTGACTAACAGGGAACCGTAAGGGAACGTTCTGTTAACGTCCCAAATGTCCTCTTTGTAACGTTGCTATGTGACCATAGAAAAACCAATATAGAACGTCTTGAAGTCATAGTGGGAACGTTACTATATGACTAAAAGAGGACCATATGGGAACGTTCTGTTAACGTCCCAAATGTCCTCTTTGTAACGTTGCTACTGTATGTGACCATAGAATAACCAATACATAACGTTCTCCTAAAGTCATATCTGGAACGTTTTGACTAAAAGAGGACCATATGGGAACGTTCTGTTAACGTCCCAAATGTCCTCTTTGTAACGTTGCTACTGTATGTGACCATAGAATAACCAATACATAACGTTCTCCTAAAGTCATATCTGGAACGTTATGACTAAAAGAGGACCATATGGGAACGTTCTGTTAACGTCCCAAATGTCCTCTGTGTAACGTTGCTATTTGACCATAGAATAATCAATATAGAACGTCCTCCTAAAGTCATATTCGGAACGTTATTATATGACTAAAAGAGGACCATGTGAGAACGTTCTGTTAATGTCCCAAATGTCCTCTTTGTAACATTCTTATGTGACCAAAAAATAACCAAAATAGAACGTCCCCCTAAAGTCATATAAAGAACATTGAGCACCAGCACTTTCATAACCAAAAGAGGATGTTTTAGGAACGTGCCTAATGTTCTGTAAAGGTTCGGGACTTTCGTCACCTTTAGAGAACTTTTAGGGAACGTTGCGCAAGGTTGCGAGAATGTCCCCTCCTACGTGGGTAATTGCATCCAGCTGCTGCTCGTCACTGCACGAGCATAAATAGGCAGCAGGTGCAATGCATATTCAGCGTTTCGCTTCGGAACCGGGAAGTTCTATTGTTCTGCTCTGCATTTCATCTGAAGAGGAGTATTCTGACGAGTCAACGAGCGCTCTGGGGAAGAGGCTTAAAGGGGTCATATGATGCGATTTCAAGTTTTCCTTTCTCTTTGGAGTGTTACAAGCTGATTGTGCATAGATAAGATCCCTGAAGTTGCAAAGACTAAAGTCTCAAAACCAAAGAGATATTCTTTATCAAAGTTAAGACTCTGCCACGCCCCCCTTAATGATCTTTAAAAAAGCATCATATGACCCCTTTAATGTTCAACTAACCTGTTGCGCAGCAGTAACCAGACAGACTCCAAACAATGCCTTTGAATAGGCTTTAATCACGGCCGGGAGGATCTCATCTCAATCACAAAGAATCCCCCAGCAACAAAGATACAACAGTTTTTATAGAAAAGATGCATAGTAAAGGTAACATGTCACATTACATTTTCCTCAGATATGATTGGTTCTCTTATGTGGAAAATCGAAGACCCCTTCTACTTGGTTACTGATTACCTCAGCTTATTCCTTAAATCATGTATTGTTATTAGTAGTTTCAGACAGATGTCTTCATGTTTCATTACTACAATGCTACTTAAGGCTAGAACATTTCTGTTCCCTAACACGTACTCAAAAGTTAGGCCTGCAAGGAAAAGTGTTAGACATTATTTGTGATCAACTGATTAATTTTAAAATAGTTTATTTAAAATTTCCTTCACAAAGCAAACAGGTTTCCAGAAACATCAGCAACCTTTGCACGTATGACTTAAGGAGTTTACTTTAAATCGTTTTATTATTGGAGGGCCGGGAGGATCTCATCTCAATCACAAAGAATCCCCCAGCAACAAAGATACAACAGTTTTTATAGAAAAGATGCATAGTAAAGGTAACATGTCACATTACATTTTCCTCAGATATGATTGGTTCTCTTATGTGGAAAATCGAAGACCCCTTCTACTTGGTTACTGATTACCTCAGCTTATTCCTTAAATCATGTATTGTTATTAGTAGTTTCAGACAGATGTCTTCATGTTTCATTACTACAATGCTACTTAAGGCTAGAACATTTCTGTTCCCTAACACATACTCAAAAGTTAGGCCTGGAAGGATCAACTGATTAATTTTAAAATAGTTTATTTAAAATTTCCTTCACAAAGCAAACAGGTTTCCAGAAACATCAGCAACCTTTGCACGTATGACTTAAGGAGTTTACTTTAAATCGTTTTATTATTAGAGGGTCTTTCTGGCCCTAGAAGAGGAGAATAATCAGCTAATAATCCGATAATAAGAAGGTCAAAACATTAGACAGGGAATCACATGGAACTTAGAAACAAACATGACAGAAGCCATGTGCTGATACCTAACAAGAGCACATGACCAATAAAACAATATCATCAGCCATATGCTCCTAACAAAAGACAAAACATGGATCCTTGCACTTAACCAAAACCAAGAAAGGCTAAGTGTCAGGATCCAGACACCATGCCTCATAGGCACGGCAAACCACGTTAATGTTCATAATGTTCAAGCAAATGCAGTTTTAAATATTCACAAAAAAATTAAATGGTACGGAGTTTAAATAAAAATTTAAGTTAAATTTATGACCTCTAGCAATAATGACATCAACATTTTTGTCAGTTATAGTTTTAAGTGGAAAATTTCTCTGCACACTTGCCTGCCACTGTGACTAAATGGAAATCCTAGTCAGTGGTTTTGCATGAATGAAATCTTCTTGTCTAGCACATTCAGCCAAAGTAATGTCTATACATATTACAAGATAATTTAATTCTTATCACTTTAATCTGTTCCCTGCAGTATCGAATAAAACGGGTCCTGTCACCACAATATTTGTTTGCATTTATTGAACAACCTTTGTAGAAATTCATAAAATCATAATGTCAAAGGGCTTACTACCTTTCTTGATGAGGGAGTTCTCCTTTGAGGTTTGGCCACAATCACCAGTGTCAAACTGCATCAGCAGAACTTATTTCATAATTTGAAGAAACCGTGTTCCTTTAATTTAAGACCATTTATTGTATATGACAATGTACAGCACAATCAAGCCTAATTGGCCCAATTTAACTGGATTCACACTACGTACTTGGAACTCCTGGGATCTGTAATATCCTTGTCTGTTACACCGCAGAAATTCTTTCAGTGTGATGCTCACACAACTGCAGTTGCTGTAGACATAGGATGTATGAACAGTACTTGGTTAGTGTGTATTGTCAGTTGGCCCTAAATGGAGTCTTGCACGCAGAAGTTGGCATGTTAGCATTTGGGGTAACCATATCAATATCAATGCCGATCCTAGACTTCGCCACAATCACCAGTGTCAAACTCCATCAGCAGAACTTATTTCATAATTTGAAGAAACCGTGTTCCTTTAATCTAAGACCATTTATTGTATATGACAATGTACAGCACAATCAAGCCTAATTGGCCCAATTTAACTGGATTCACACTACGTACTTGGAACTCCTGGGATCTGTAATATCCTTGTCTGTTACACCGCAGAAATTCTTTCAGTGTGATGCTCACACAACTGCAGTTGCTGTAGACATAGGATGTATGAACAGTACTTGGTTAGTGTGTATTGTCAGTTGGCCCTAAATGGAGTCTTGCACGCAGAAGTTGGCATGTTAGCATTTGGGGTAACCATATCAATATCAATGCCGATCCTAGACTTCTGGGGGCCCTACGCAAAACCGTGTCGGCGGGGGAATGAGGTGGAGTGGGGTATGAGTGGTTATGAACGAATGAATGAAACTCATTTGTCCATGCTTCACTCCGTCTCAAATCGCGCTCGTGAAAAGCACTTGAGAAGCAGTGTCTCTTCCGCGGCTCGGTACGCTTTCAACTTGTTTTTTTTAGTCTCGAGCAAGACCGTATGACATTCACATTACATGATTTGACTGATTTTTACGTAGAAAGGGCAAGAGCGCACATTAACAGAAGTGATCATTAGTGTTTTCATAACCGCTGGCCAAATTCAAAAACAAACTAAAATTAAATCATCTTTGAGGGCAAGGGGGCCCCCTGGTGTTTCGGGGGCCCTACGCAACTTGCATATTTTGCATATAGGGAAGATCGGCTCTGAAAAGGTTGCTTGATTGTCGTCTTTCAGGAATCAGGATCTATATCAATGTGGTATAATGACGTAGCATATTGTCCATATTTATCAATATACTTGTGATTATGTAAATCTAAAATAAACTAAGTATCAAAACTTAAATGTTTTGTTTGTAAAATATTTGACAGAACCAGTTAAACTCTGCGGACGGGTCCAAAATGACGTTAAAAATGTTTATGCTTCACTTACATACCCCGAGCTTAAGTGTTGGGGCAGCAAACACAATTGTGGCATTTGTACGTACCTTAACATACCACAGAACAAATTAACTACAGAAAATCCCTTTTTAAAAAGATAGACTTCCCCTTAAAGTCACTGTATAACTCGCACTCGAACAAAGATACCATCAAAATGATTATGAACGTGTTCTAGTTTGATATCACTGAAATGTATTGATTAAGAGAGATCGGAAAAATGTAGTATTGCCAATGTATGAAATAATGGTGTTACATAATAAAACTCCTCCTTTCACTGTTGTGAGTTTAACAGGCCTGGTGGTTTGTGGTGTGACAGCAATTTTAAATGAACCAAGCGAGATTTTCAAGCCAAACACTGCCAGTCAGACAAGTTATGCTCAAATGTCATTATTGTCAAATCAAAACATAATCAAAACATTTAGCTCAGTTTTTAGAAGAAACCATTATTTGAATTTTATCGATTAATTTGAAGGATACTTTAAAGTATTTAACTTAATAATTAACCATATTGTTTGATACAGTAGATACAGCATTATTCATACACCAGACACCCTCCTCTTTTTCGTACCAATTTTAAATTCATTTTTCATGTTTCTTCCCCTTTCAGTCCTTTTTCTGGCTGTTCTTTGGACTCCTCCACTTGTGTTTGTGCATTCTGCCTTCCTCTCATGTAAGCATTCACACTCTCCAGTAAATCAATGGAGTGATTGATCAGAAGAGCGAGCCAAGCCAGGCCAAAGAATATCCAGGCTGCCATCAGACAACTGTACCACTCTGGGTAGTTTATTGCTGGGTTGTGATCTGGCAGAGAAAACGGTGATGTAAAGATTGTTATCAGGGTTGGGATGATATAATTTGAATCAAATTGGATTTGAAAATTGATGTAATGCAATGTCAAAATGATACATTTACTGAATTCCAGTTCAAATGCAACACATTCGCAACAGAGGAATTTGATTGATCCAACAAGTTTTGCATGAAAACAAATCATGACTATAACAATTTTGACTCCGTATGAGTTTACTGTATGCCTAATACAATATGCCTATTTGCTCTCTCATTATACCCTTATATGCAAGTAAATAAGTATTATTATTTTTATTTTTCTGTTAACCAATCAAATTTACCTATTAATGTCATAATTTAAATTATATATAGAAGTTTAGCTATGTTTTTAAGATTTTCTGCGTGTTTCACCATATCTAGTAAAAAATTTATTTATTATTAAATGCTATTCATACAACATTAATATGAATTTCTTTTAATTTCTTTCTACTGGCTTAAATACATTTTTAAATTTGAATTACAATTCTGCATCTTAGCTACCACAATTCAATATTCAAATTCAGGAAAATTCAAAATCAATTTTGAATGACACACAACCCAAGCTGTGATGTCATGTCACTTCCTGACTAGAATAATTACAAAATGTGAAGAACTTTCAGAGGATTAAGAGTAAAACAAAGAAGGCTTTAGGTAACACACACAGCTAAATAGTCCATATCTAATAACCAGGGTGTGAACACATAAGTATCATAATAAAGGTATAAATAGTTTGTTAATTTTTGTATGTGTAGCCTCCTACCTGCAACATAATCTCCGAATCCAATAGTGCTGAGTGTTATGAAGCCGTAATAAATGGCTTCAGCGTAACTCCATCCCTCATACTCTTTGAAAAGCAGCATAGGAACCACAAAGTATAGAAATGCTGAGCTCACAAAAGATATACTGTGAATGGATATTCGTACACATTTCTGTGGTAAGGAACCGAATCATGGGTACAGTGTGTTTGCACATAAAGGTCAAGCATATTAATTTATAGTTTCATTCATTCATTCATTCATCCATTCCCACAACATCATCTTTATTGCTGACTGTAAAAATTAATAAAAAAGTTATTCTCACCCCTCTATCAATTTTTGTCTCCAGAAAATTGCAAAAATTCCTTTCAATGGCCAGCATGTATTTTCCAACTCTATTTAAGATCACTACATTCAGGGGAATGCCAAAAAGTGCAAACAACACACAGAAGATTTGACCAGCTGTCGTCAGTGGAATTATATTCCCATAGCCTGTAAAAAGATGAAAACTTTAAATGATCTTAGATTTAAATAATGATAGATGCCACACAACAAACTGGATTGTCAAATTCATTGTGTTAAGTGTCCCATTCCTCACCAATAGTTGTGACCACAGTTGCCGCAAACACAGATGAGCTGGTAAATTTCCAGAAGCCATCTGCGGTGTCATTGCTGTCTGGACTCAAGCCACTCAGGGAAGCAGCTTTTATCATCTTTAAAACAGTAATAACAAGCAATAAGTACTTATTTGTAATACATGAAATGACAATAAAAACAGTGTGCACATGTGAATGACAGCTGTGTTCTGTTAAAATTCTGAAAAAATTATAGCAAAACTATCACATTGTCAAGTTTTATTATTATCTACTTAAGCAGAGAACATTCTTTTTCACAAAAAGGCCCTTTCATTTAAAAAAAGAGCTAAATAATTATGTAAATTATTTCAACAATAGACCAACAAAGAGAATTCTATATAAAAGATTTCCACATTTCCAATAAAGGAAATTCAATTATAAACTGTCGATCTTGCTTAACAACCACAAACTGGTCTAGGTTTCTTGATTGGTGGTCTTGAATATTTTCTGCACAAATTTTCATTTTAAAGACTTTTTTTTTTTACCAAAAGCAGTTAATTTAAATTAATGAAAATGCCTTCATAAATTTGCACTGAATGGTTAAATAGACAAGACAGACAGACAGACAGACAGATAGACAGATAGATAGATAGATATTGAAAAAAATTGTCCAAACATTCCCTCACTGATCCTACCTAACACTGATACTGTTGTTAATGAGGAATAAATAAATTTGTGCAACATCTACTCTCCAATCATACCTGTGCTAGTTCTCGGAGCCCATTCTGACCCACACATGGGTACTTCTCAAGTAGTTTCATTCTTTTCTCTTTCAGGAGATCAATCTGTTGCAACACATACCATCCTTCTAGTTTCCAGAAGATCAGCCCTCCAACAAGAACATAGGCTACATAAATAATTCCAAGGAACAGGATAGAAGGGAACCGAGCTACGCTGAGAAACTGGCATAACTTTCCCGAAAACATGGGAAGCATGGTTCCTTTGGTCACCTGGCTCACCTGTCTGCCGATGCAGTTGCAGGATGGTGCTACTGGGTGTGGATTACTTTTTGTTTATGTGACAGGCAAATCACTCCCTTGAGTAATGAATGCCAGAATCAGACCTTATGACCTGGCATGCAAATGTTGATTGAAGGAGAGCAGAAGACAAAGTGAGTGAGGAGTTAAAAAGGGGGGTTGAAGTGGTTAGAAGCTAGTCAGTACTCTCTGCCAATGGTTTCATGTTCTTGTATCAAAACTTAACTTTTCCACTTAAACATTTTTATTTTTTTATTTTTATACAAATCAATTAGTTTAAAGAGTACCTAAGCACACACCAAAAAGAGGAAAGTCATGTGTCAGTGATCATCTGTACGTCTCACCATCGGTTCATCACAGTAATATATTTACTTTAGGCATGTCTGATCTATAGCCTTGCCAGTGGCAAACACAAGAACACATACTTACACATATATGCCAATATATGGAACCACAATATTTACTATTTTCAAATCTCTGAACCACTGCACTTGAGTTCAGTTATGTAGGTATGAATAAATAAAAAAATAGATATAGTTTGAGTTATGGTCATTTGAATGTGTATTTGAATATGGTTTAGGTATAAAAAAAACATACAAGTTAGAATAAACGTAACAAGATATGTGCACAAAATAGATGTATGTTAGGATAAACATTTGTGATATGTGTTTTAATATTAGATATACAATCAATAAAATATACCATTAACAATCAAAAAAAAATCTCTCAAAGACCATATTCATATATAATCTCAATCAATAAATAATAAAAGAATGGAGCAGTTTTATAGTTTTTAGTTTTAGTTTTCTTGACTCTCCAAATAATGTAAATAAAATTATGTTTTATTAATTTTGTCTAAAACTTGGAAATGACTGGTCATGATTTTACATTATAATGTCTTAAACTTTAAATGATAATGTCTAAAACGTTAGATTAAAGTGATGTTATAAATTACCATGTTATTGTATATAATATATATGGTCTTATAATAATTATACATGTGATCTGTACTGTACTGATTGCATGAATAAATGAAGCAAAAAAGGCCACTTTATGCCTGTTCAATCTGATGAAAGAAAGTGCTGCTCCCTCATGCAAATTACTGCTCAGAACCTCATTGCTCAAACAAATCCCTTCGTAGTCATGCAAAATAGTGCATCATAAAACAAAAATGACCAGATCTCAGTCTTAATATTTTTGAGCAAAGAAATGTAAATTTATTAAATAAGTATTAAGATTTATTCCCTGTTAAATAAGTTATTTAAAATAAATAAATAAATAAATAAAAAACTCAATTTGCATTCTCCCAAAAGAGGCTCTTGGCAGAAAAGACCAATTTAAGCAAGGCAAGTTTATCTATATAGCACATTTCATACACAATGGTAATTCAAAGTGCTTTACATAAAAGAAAGTAAAGTAAAATCATTAAAAAAAATCACAACAATAAAAACAAGGAATTTAAAACCTTTTAAAATGATTTAAAAATGTATTTAAAATTAATTAAAACAGTTAATAATAGAAAATGATTATACATAAAATACAGTGCAATCAGTTCGGATGTAACAGTGCTCATTCGGTAAATGAACAGCTAAACAGATGAGTTTTGAGTCTAGATTTAAATGTGGCTAATGTTTTAGCACCTCTGATCTCTTCTGGAAGCTGGTTCCAACTGCGGGTGGCATAATAGCGGACTTGTGAACCCTTGGTATTTCTAACTGACTCGATCCTAATGATCTGAGTGGTCTGTTAGCTTTATATTCAGTGAGCATATCTGCAATGTATCTAGGTCCTAGGTCATTAAATGATTTATAAACGAGTAAAAGTACCTTAAAATCAATCCTAAATGTAACTGGAAGCCAGTGTAAGGACCCGAGGACTGGTGGGATATGCTCAGATTTTCTGGTTCTTGTCAAGAATCCTGACAGCAGTATTCTGTATGAGCTGCAGCTGTCTAATGGTCTTCTTGGGAAGGTCGGTTAGGAGACCATTATAATAGTCCACCCTGCTGGTGATAAAGGCATGAACAAGTTTCTCC